AGCAGATCCTCTCAGAAGCCACTGCTTTGACTGGACTTTATTTTTTGAGGGCACCTAACAAGACTAAAACAAGCATATTAGAACTTGTCCCCGGTAAAGCACTGACCACTGAGACACATGTAAGCAAGTTTCTTTGAAATAAACCTGAGCATGTGTGAGCTAGAACCTTACAGGCAACACTTTTTGACATGAGTGAAGGAGTGGTATTTGTATTCTTTAGTGATAGGGATATCTTTGGCTCTAATGCAGTGCCTTGTACATAGAAGGTACCAAGAAATGTTTTCTGAATGAAGTCAATGGTAGACTAGGAAAACGTTTGCTCATCAATTTGTCCCACCACAGTGAACAACTCAGTTGGGATGACATGCTGTGAATGGACAGAATGTCATGCTTATCCAAGCACCCCAAAGTGACAAAAATGAAGGAAAAAGTCAAAGAATAGTAAAAAATGAACCTACAGTAGGTTCAGCTTTAAATTCTACCAAGTTAACCCAAACCTCTAGATGAAACCAATGATACTTACAATGACAATTAGATGGTAAACGATAACTGAGAGAAGATTAGAAGTGTGGCATGGGCACAAAAAATATGGAGTGAACAACGTCCAGACAGAATTAAAATGAAATTACAAATTTAGGCATGAAATACCAAAAAAGCTGACCTTACTTCAAAAGGCCTATAAAAAGCAATGCATGTGTAACGGTGGCCATGGTAATTCAACAATTCTGTAAGTTAAAAAAAAATTTATAGTAAAAAGCAATTTGAAAAATGTTTTCTTACAACAATTTTAAGGCATCAGGATCAAAGTCTCATTAGTGGAGATTAGAAAGTCTTAAAAATACGTACTTATACGTTGAGACTGCTGGAAAGAGTACGACTTGCTCCTTTCTGGCGAGTAGCTTCTACTGCTGACACTGGACCCAGACCTGCTGTGTGGAGAATCCTTTCGGCCTACAGGTGATTCTCTGAAAAAGGGATTGTCCTTTTTATGAGGAGACCGCTCTCTGGTATAGTGGGAAGAATAGAAACTTTTTCTTCGAAAGCCATCTCTCACATCCCTTTGAAGAAAAAATAAAATAGGTTAACTATACCCTGACACACATGTGAGCCCTGCTGCCTCAGGGGTTGTGTGTTCAGATGCTAACCAAATGGTGATTTGAACCCAGGAGTGGCTGAGGGGTGGGTGGAGGGTGGTACCCACAGGACATTCTGGTGATCTGCTCCCATAAAGTGGACACCCTAAGACACCCTAAGGGCAGTTCCGCCCTATCTGACAGGCTGCAGTGAGTCAGAATCAACTCAACAGAGAAGCGTTTGTGTCTCTGGATGACACCCCTGGGTCAGCACTCATCTACTAGCCAAAAGACTAGTAGGATGGACCCACCCAGATTGCGTAGGAGAGCGCACGGGTGATCTGCTTTCAAAACCCTATGGGGCAGCTCGATTCTGACAGGAAGAAGGTAACAGACTTAGGTAAAGAGCTAACTTGTCCAAGTAACCACTACTGACTCAATTCTGATGCACAGTGACCCTAGAGGGCAGCATAGAATCTCTCCACAGGGTTTTCCTGGGCTATACATCTGTAGACAGCCTCATCTTTTCCCAGAGGAGTAACAGGTGGAGTCAATCTGTCAACCTTTTGGGTAGCAGCCCAACACTTGATGTGTTGTGCTTTTATAGAGCAAAACCATTCTTTAAAGGTCAAAAGCCAAATTAGGGGGAAAACCCCTATTAGGATAAAAGCCTCTATTAAAAGATCACTCTGAATTAAAGGTTTGGCAAATGTAGGCCCATATTTAAATTGAATACTGAGTTTCAGACAGAAGTATGCTAAGAGATAAACATCTGTATTTCCAAATGCTTGGCAAGTAATTTCAGCAAATTGGTTGGCAGTTCCCCATAAATGAATAGGTTGATGTCAAAAAGTTCCTCTGAATATTATCTGACTAGTGTTCACAACATACTGCCTGTACAAGCACAGTAAATTTCCTTGGACAAAAGTAGAAAGTAGCTAAATTCATTCAAGACAACTGAACTCTGAGAGAACACATATTGAAATAAAGCAGTAAATAAACTTATACA